CAAGAGAGGGAGACACTACATCTCCATCTAAAACTTTAAAGTTTTAAGAGTGTGGTTTCCTTACTTATATGATACTCAACATGTACTTACATTTAATGCAGAACCTCAACTCACACATGACACATCATAACATCTCTCTCTAAAGTGTGAAACTATATGTCATAAATTGTGTCCAACTATTTTGTATTTTAATTAACAAACGTAATATTTATCATATTTGCCCAAAGAAAAATAGCAAACTAGTGATGCTTCTGTGTAAAAAATATGGTGTCATACTGTTATAGGCAACTAAGTAAACGGGTTTATATAACCATAGCAAGAATAGGGAAAAAAAAGAGTAAAAGCCTTAAAAGTATTGTAGTTTGAAATTGTTGACATTTTGAGAGACAATTAAACATAGTGGAGTGCTAACATTAGGCTGTCTCCCATTAGCATCATTTGAGGAACACTATGAGACAACATTCGACAAATGAATTAGAGATGATGATTTGTGGTCAGTGTGGCAATGTCATCTTGTCAAGCCCTCGTGGGTTAGAAAACATCCAAATATGGAAGCTCTATGATCACCTACTTGCTTTTTGATGTCCATTGAACTTGCTCCTTAGTCATCACTAAATATTTTGGGACTTCAAATTTAACAATTGGAGCTTTGTAGTCAAAGCTTAATGCATGTCGTTTTACTATGTTTTTTGAGTACATTCATGCATCTTTCTAATGTACATCTATGTTAATTGATGGTTGCAAATAGATTGTTTTTTATTTAAATCTATGTGATTTTTTACTATTTAGTTTTAATTGTTATATTTTTATTTTGTTTTTAGTCGTATTCTTTTGTCTTATTCTTTATGAAATTGATTTATAATGAAATCTTTCTTTTGTAATAGGTAAAACATTTGATTTTATTCTTTATGTTATAGATATTAGAATGAATAAAATGAAATGTTAAACTTATTTACAATAACAATTCTAATGTAAAGAAATTTTACAATGACTAAAATAAAAGAAGATCAAAAGTAAAATAAAAAATATCAACAAAAATCAAAACCAAACAAAAAAAAATTGAGATTACGACAACAATCATCTTTCTGGTGACGAATTATTATGTTGGTATGAATTTAATAACATATCTATTTGGATATTTTTTAAATTTTTTTTTACTTGGTCGAATGGTAGAGGAGATTCAACCCACACTTCTCATAGACTTGATAGATTTATTTATAACCTTGATTGGTTTGATTTTAAGATTTTATTAACGATTGCACTTTTCCTGAAAGTCGATCTGATTATCAACCTATTCTCTTGATGCTTTATAATGGCAACATATTCTCCTCGCGTTTTAAAATTTTATTGAATGTGAACATCTTATTGGATTGTAGGAAAGTCAGAGAAAAACATTGGAGTCACCGAATTATAAGTTATCATATGTTGTCCTCTCTCAATAGCTCAAGTCTCTTAAAATAATTATTAGGAACAGAAACAAAGATATTTTTAATAATTGGCCAAAGTGTTATGGATTATTTCAACTCAATTCAAGCTTAAAACAACAATCTAGACTAATCTCATGGTACAATATTAATAAAAAGAATGCACAAATTTCCCTCTCTAAATACATATTAAAGAATGGGTCGTGGGAGAGGACGAGGGCGGCCACGCTTGGTGCCACCGTCAACAAGCACTCTTACGGCGGCCATCTCTGAATTGTAAGTCACGGAAGAGGAAACTTTTGTGGACAATGAAGAGCGAAATGACACAGTGGAAACTGGTAACCTGGTGGAGAACATAACGAATGCATCTGATACCGGAGACCTAGGTCATCAAAGTACTGAAGAAAGAATGGAGGTGGAAACTAGCCAAAAGAAGAAACTATGGGTTGATATCATCAATGAGAATCGTAATCCGGCGAAGGGTCTCACTATGGAATTCGTTGCCCCTAAGATTATTGATGGAGAAATGGAAATCCAAATTGAAGAGGAAGATGTTGAAAAGGAAGTGAAATTCTGGGAATCTGCCCTTATCATGTATGCCCTGGGTGTGGACCTCAGCATGAATGCGGTAAAACAATTTATGAGCAAGAGCTGGAATTTTGTGAAACTCCCTGATATGTTCTATAATGAGGAAGATTTCTTCATCCTCAGATTCCAATCTTTCCAAGACAAAGACCTAGTTTTGATGAAAGGGTCGTACTCAATCCGTAATAGACCAATGATGTTGCGTGAGTGGAAATCTGATTTCAGTATGAGCAAGGATATGCTTAGAACAATTCCGTTGTGGGTGAAACTACCCCAGCTACCCTTACATCTTTGGGGGGCGTGGAGCCTTAGTAAAATAGGCAGTGCGTTAGGTACACCTCTGGTAACAGACGAGTGCACGGCAAATAAGCTCAGGGTTTCATATGCTCGTATCCTGGTGGAAATTGACATCACACAAGAGCTTAAGACACACATTCTGATAAAAGACGAAAAAGGGGCGCGACTAAACCAGCCGATTGAGTATGAGTGGAAACCACTTTACTGCCAACGTTGCCACAAGATGGGTCATAATTGTGATAAGCCTGCTAGGCCTGCTAAAGAATGGAAGATGAAAGTGAAGGACCAAGCACAAAAGTAAAGGGTGCAAGCCACTGCTAATCAAAGTGCAACAACAGAAACAGGGGACACTAGTAGAGAAACAACAATAATAGGGAATGCTTGTACTGGAACAGCAACAACAAGGGCCACTCATAAGGATATCAAACAGAATGATGAGGTGTGGACTATGAGTACTAGCAATAGCAAAAGGAAGGTCAAAGGTTCTGCCAATGAGGAAGACAACATCCAATGCCAAAATGGTTTTGGGCTGCTGGGGATTTTGAATGATCCTGGAAGTAGCCAAGACACTAATCAATGCTAGTGTCTTGGAATGTGAGGGGCCTGAATAAAATGGTTAAGACTAAAGAGGTTAGCTCCCGCCTCCGTTCTCTTAACCCATTGATTTGTATTTTGCTTGAGACTAGAGTGAAGCAAGATAAGGCTGACAAAATTAGGTGCAAAATGAAGCTTAAGGGTTCATTTATGGATAACTATTCTGATCACGCTAATGGAAGAATTTGGATATGGTGGAACCATGCTAAGACTGATATCAGGAAAGTCACTAGCACTGGGCAATTACTTCATTGTGGTGTTTATGATGTGCAGGGTGTTTTTCAATTCTGGCTCACAGCAGTGTATGGTGCAAACAGGCTGGATCATCGTAAGAAGTTATGGAGTGATATTGAACATATTAACCAAAACTAACATGGGTCATGGTTCCTTATTGGTGACTTTAATGTAGTTCATACTGTTGACAGAAGGGGAGGATCCATGGTGCAGATGAAAGAGTATGCTGATTTAACTGATATGATGAACAAGTGTAGCTTGAGTGAAATGGATATTGTTGGAGATTATTACACATGGTCCAATCGCCAGGGTGACAATATCATCCATTCTAGGATTGACCATGGGCTGGAAAACATTGAGTGGTTTCAAAAATACATCAGTATGAGCCTCAAAATCCTTACCCCTGACATTTCTGATCATGCGCTACTGCTGCTTTCTGGCTCTGAATACACTACGAAACGAACCTACCAGTTCAAGTTCATGAACTGTTCCACTGAGATTGAGGGCTTCCAAGTTTACATTGCCAATAGCTGGAATCTCCCTATCTAGGGTAGTCCCATGTCTGTAATGTGGAGGAAACTGCTTCGAATCCAAAATGTTGTGAAAAAGATTAGCAAACCCTTGTTGGGTGCCACTGCTGCTCTCAAAAATGCAAGACAGAATTTACAAGAGGCCCAGTTGCGGCTCAGTGAGGACCTTGACAACCCTGAAGTCATTCACCTTGTTAAAAATAGATTAGCTGAGGTATGTTATTAGAGTGAAATTGAGGAATAGGTGCTTAGGCAGAGATCGAAAATCAGTTGGCTCAGACTGGGAGATGGCAACAACAGGTTTTTTTCATGCCCAGGTTAAATCGAGACAAACCAGTGGTGCTATTACTGAGCTGTGTTCTGTGACAGGTGAAAGGATTACTAAGACTGAGGACATTGAGAATGAGGTGTTGTCCTTTTATGGCAGACTCATGGGGTATCCTTATAATGCCTTGGAGTGTATAAACCTGACTGCTATGAGAGATGGCCCTCAAATTACCAGTGATCAGAAAGATATGTTGGCTTGCTCCCCACTAAAGCAGAAATTCATAGTGCCCTTCATGACATTGGTGACCTGAAAGCCCCTGGTGTTGATGGTTTTGGGGCAAAAATTTTCAAAGCTTCATGGAGTATCATTAAAAAGGATACCATTGCTGCAGTAATGGATTTCTTGATCAATTTCAAGATGTACCCTGATGTCAACTGTACTCTTGTATCCTTGATTCCTAAAGGTAATGGTGGGAACTGTGTGAAGGACTTTCAACCGATATTCTGTTGTACTACTCTCTACAAAATCATTTCAAAGATCTTGACTAGAAGGTTGAGCAAGGTTATTACCTGTATTGTCAGTCAAAGCCAAGCTGCCTTCATTCCTGGACAGAACATCCATGATCATATTTTATTAGCGTACGAGTTCATTCAAGGCTATAGTAGAAAGGGTGGTACTCCTAGATGTCTATTACAACTTGACATCCAAAAAGCCTATGATACCCTGGACTGGTATGCTCTTGAGTGTATCCTCAAGGAATTTGGTTTCCCTCACAAATTCACCAAACAGATTATGCTGGCGGTGTCAATAGTGTCGTACAGGTTCAATGTTGCTGGCAGTGTCACTAGAAGCATGAAGGCGAAAAGGGGCCTTAGACAAGGTGACCCTATATCCCCCCTTCTGTTTGTTCTAACTATGGAGTATTTCCATAGGCTCTTGCACCAGTTAAGCAAAGTCACTAACTACAACTTCCATGCTAAGTGTGAAAAGCTGCAAATTATTGATCTTAGCTTTGCGGATGATGTTCTTCTATTTACCCGTGGGGACAGCAAATCTGTTAAGTTACTTATGGACCAACTGCAAACGTTCTCCCAGTCCACTGGTTTGGTGGTTAACCCTGCGAAGTGTATGGTGTACTTCGGGGGGGTGAATGCGGAGACCAAAAGCGACATCTTGGCTTCTACTTCGTTCATGGAAGGGGAGTTACCTTTTCGGTACCTGGGTATTCCTCTCACTTGTAAACGGCTTCCTATGCATCATTATATGAGTTTGGTGGACAGAGTTGTTAGCCGGATTTGTCATTGGAGCTCCAAGTTACTGAGCTATGCGGGAAGACTTTAGCTGATTAATAGCACAATTACTGTTATGGCAGCATACTGGATGAGTTGCCTTCCCTTTCCCAAGCATGTGATTAAAACCATTAACTCTATTTTCAGGACTTTTTTGTGGACAGGCAGCGAGGAGAAGTCGAGAAAATCCCCAATCGCGTGGAAAATAATCTGTAAGCCGCGGAAAAATGGCGGTCAGGATGTGATGGATTTATCAGATTGGAACGTGGCCTGTTTAACAAAGCTGTTGTGGAACCTTTGCAATAAAAAGGATTCTCTTTGGGTGAAATGGATTCACGCGTTTTACTTCAAAACAACAACTATTATGCAGATCCAGGAAAAACAGGGCATGTCTTGGATTTTAAAAGCTATTCTTAGACATAGAATTATTGTTTATGGCATAGATGATTGGAATGGAATGACGGCGAAATACTCGGTGGGTAAGGTGTACCAGTACCTCAAGAAGGATGATCCTGATGTTGGTTGGAAACACATGTTATCCAACAATATTGCTAGACCGAGAGCCCGGTTTACTATGTGGATGGCTTGCCACCGTCGACTTGCGACAAGATGACGGCTCAAAAGACTTGGCCTTACGACCGATGACAGCTATAAATTCTGCGACAAGGAGGAAACAATGGACCATCTTTTATTCGATTGTCCGCCGTTTAAAACCTGTTGGCAACAAATTCTGGTATGGTTAGGATATCAACATTTCCCTTGTGATTGCAGTGAAGCACTTGAGTGGTTAATCGCACATTGTAAAGGGAAAGGCTGGAGAAAGTGCATACTGCATAGCTCTGTAGCGGAGACCATCCATGAAATTTGGAGGTATCGCAACAATGTCGTCTTTGGCAATACAGTTAATTTTTTGGAGATTAGAGATTTAGTCACTTCTACCCTTGCAAATAGAGGGTGGGTTAATACTAGAATGAGACATCATATAGCTCAATTACTTTTAGAGTAGGTGGGTTTTTTGGTTGTTTTGTGGTTGGGGTCAATTATATCCTTGTATATTCCTCTTTTTTGATTTATATAAAGTCTTTATTCCAACAAAAAAAAAGAATGCACAAAGAGTTTGGGACAAAGCTCTAAATTTTCAATATTAGTTTCGGAAGGATAGAGCTAGAGAAAAATGTGGGTCACATATGAAGATATTAGTTTATCAAAGTGTCAATAATATCATTCACGAAAATCAGGTTCTTCATACATCATAGGATATTTACTATGTATATTTTCTTATTAAAAGAATATATTTGCATCAGACTCAATCACCCACATTAGTAAGTCTATTATCATAGACATCATATCCTGCTTGACCAATAACCTTGGCATCCCTATCTTTTAAGGTAAACTTATGTGTAATCATTTCCATCTAATAGCAGATAATATCAAGGTTAAGTTATCTTTTTTTGAAGGAATACCTCATTTATATGAGAGATAAATCTCGACATGTCCAACCTATTCTTTAAGGAAAGTTTATTTATAATTTAAAAATATATTTTTGGCTTAAGAAGTTTATCAAACAAATTGACACATGGATAAGATATTTTATTTAAAAAGTTGTATTAAAACAAAGAAACTGTTTTGGACTGGGCCTAAGGCTGGCCCACTGTCGGACACAGTCCAACCCAGCTCCGCGTTGAAGAAGGCCCAACACATGTCCAATCCATCATAACCGCAGAGGGCACGTTTCTCACACGTTCTCCACGTGCTCCTCGCGCGAGGACACGTCACCAACTGAACCCATGCCTTTCGTGCGGCAGTTTCGCCCTCAGGAACTAGATGATCTACTGCAAAATTCATGGGGCAGTTGACCCAAGACGAAGACCGTGTGCTGGTCTTCCCTACTTCCACGTAGGATCCCGACAATCATCCATTGTGGGTCAAACGATCCAGCCCCCAGCAGATGACCGTTGGCTCAGTGTTGAGGGCACATTATAAATACCCTTCTCCGCACGAGGGTCAGTATTCTGAATTCCTTCACTCTATACTTGCTCTTTCTCTCTTTCACTATGAACCTCACTTTGGTATCAGAGTGTCTTGCAGGTACATCACTGTCCTCTTCTCCTTCATCGGCAAATTAGGAGCTCACGACATGTTGTTGGCCGCTGATTGAATCTCTGATCCCAGTAAGACCAGTGGCACCGCCTGTGGGAACTCTTTGCTCCCCCGTCTTTTCTTTCTCTGAAACCTAAAGACCAAAGAAAACTTTCAAAAACCTACCAATCATCGTGGTCGATCAACACGCCGATGACAACGTTCATGAGACTGCCTTCACCACCTTCACTACCGGCGGTGACCACGACAACAATGGGACGAGAGTTACTGAAGAGGGGTGACCCTAGAGATAGACTCAACGTCTCTCCCTCCTCCGACGAAGTGGCCTATAACGTCGTCCAACATTTCATGAATCTGGGGGTTTTTCAACCAATCCTCGTGCCATCTAATGCCGATCCTACCATGATGGTTCTGTTTGCAACAACCAATCAAACCAATTTCATGATTTTCCAACATAATGAGCATATTGGGATGTTGGAGAAAGACCTCCGATCACGCTCTCACCGTGGAAACATTGACGGTCTGAATCTCGCAGCCAGTCCCTACAACAACGAGACGCCCGTCAATGCTCTCCCTCGTGAAGACACCAACAGGATGAGTCTCAGAGTCTCTCTCTGTGACAACCTAGAAGTCGCCCACGGTTAGAATGGCCACAACCTACAATTACCCAGAAGCGTGATCCCACTCCTTCCCACAGGAATTGGCGTTCCCCCATTCCCAAGAGGAGCAAAGCCCGCAGGCAACTAGACAAGTCGAGGGGTCGACCAAGAAACTCTCCATGCCATGACAGAACTCTTCGACACGAACCCTCACAGTCGTGCTCACCAGTATGAAGCGACGAAGATGACCCCCGCAGTCCACTTTCTCGAGTAATTATGGAAACTACCCTCCCCGTCAAGATAGAAAAACCGCCAAGTCTGGCAACCTATCATGGCACGACGGACCTAGACGATCACATCGAAAACATAGATGTGATGCTCGACTACCACAAGCAAGTGCTGACTCTTCCCCACAACTCTGAGGAAGGGTGCCATGGTGTGGTACAAAACCCTCGCCTCGGATTCCATCACCTCCTGGAAGAATCTAAAAATGCAGTTCACCAGGAATTTCACCGCCTCTCGACAACATCTGAAATCTGAGGCATCGCTTGAGGCCATCATACAGGGGAAACATGAATCTCTCCAAGCCTACATAGAGAGGTTCAATCGAGAGGCCATTTAAATCACCACTACTGATTGGATGAAAAGATACCTACTCGAGTGAGGGCTGCACCCCCGCAGTGACTTCGCCAAAGCAGTTGGCATTGAGATGCCCCGTTTGCTGGATGACCTTCTCCTTAAAGCCCAGGCCTGCATCCAGTACAAGGAGAGAGAGACCGCCAATAATAATCGCGACTCATAGAACCAAGAGAACACTAAAGTCGGGAAGTATAATGAACCTGTGGCTTCTCGACGCTGCGGAGAGAAAAAAAGAGATGATAAGCCCCACGACTCCCGCAAGCATAGAGGACCAATAGGTTGTTTCTCTGAGTACAAGATGTTGACCACTCCCCGTGAGCGCATCCTGACTGAGTGCATAAACTCATAATTCAAAGAGGGTAGGGTTCATTTTCCCAAGCTGACACCCCCAAGTCAAATGTCGACAAGTCCAAGTACTACCAGTTCCACAGAAGCCATGGCCACGTCACCGAAGACTGCATCCACCTCAAGGATGCAATCGATATCCTCATCAAGGAGGAACGCCTCAAATAGTACACCAAGAGGAGCGAGGCTCCTCGACAGGGTGTCCGCGAGACAAAGAAGGTCGAGGAGGAAACACCACCCTCTGACAACACCGATTTACAAGTTGCCATCTGCATCTCTCGGTCTGAGGACTTCTACGTCCTCAATGAGGCCGACATGCCATTGGCTGCCCACATCACATGGGAGAACTTCCCCTCCGCTATGGTCATATCTGACGGAGGATTCAACAAGCTAGCCTTGGGGTCGATGAAAAGAAAATTTGATGAGTTGATTGACGCAAGCTCGAACCAGAACGCAAGCCTCGACAGGTTCTAGAGAAAATCAAACCCCGTCACCTTCTACCTCAAGGAGCTGCCAAGCAGTTCTCCCAACTCTAGCATTCCTTTGCTCACGAGAGCATAAATGGTGAACTTCGACATCCGTCGCATCCTGGTCGACCAAGGGAGCTCCATCGACATTACGTACGCTCATCTGTTCACCACTTTTCAGCTCAATGAGAGGCATTTGACACCATATGTTGGCTCCGACCAGCAAGGCTTCAATGACACAGTTATTAAGCCATGTGGCTATGTCAAGCTGCTTGTTACCTTCGGCGTCAAGGAAACTGCGAGACAAGTCAAAGTCTGTTTCCTGGTTATAGAGTGTCCTCTCTGAACCAGTGAATCCTAGGAAGACTAACTCTGGATGAGCTAACCTCCGTGTCGTCCATGGTCCATTTAAAAATGAAGTACTATACAACCAGGGGACGCATCATCACTCTTCACGGGGACATTGATGCCGCCAGCAATCCAGGCTGATCCAAGGAGCAAAAGTTGTTGCCTCGTGTCAATTCAGTCGACCTCGACAACCACTTCACCAACTAGCAAAAGCAGAACGAAGCAGCATTAGATGCTTCTCAAACACCTAGTAATGTTGCGGAACCTCTCCATCTTATGTGCCCCATTATGGATGGCAAGTTCGATCTCATTCTTCTTGGCAACGACCCAGACAAAGGCGTGAAGATTGGCACAGGAATCCCCGACCTAGCGAGGAAGCAACTAAAAGCTTGCCTAAGAGAGAACGCTGACTTGTTCACATGAAGCGCTGCAGAGATGCCTGGGCTGGACCCTGACATCGCCTACCACCAGCCGACCATAGATCATGCCGCTAGGGACGTAGTATAACATAGGCGTAGGCAATCTCCCGAAAAAGCGGAGGCTGTTGAATTAGCTATAAAAGACCTCCTATAGGAAAATAGTTATTTTTGAAGCCCAGTATACAACATGGCTCCCTAATGTTGTACTCGTTAAAATATCCAATGGAAAATGGCGCATGTGTGTTGACTATACCGATCTTAACAGGGCTTTTTGAAATTCTGGCAACCACACATTGAATGTTATCACGAATGTTATGACATCCACTATAACACAGACTACTGGACTTAAGCAGTAAATGTAAAGCAATAAATAACACAAGTAATTATTCACTCAGTTCAATGTCAACCACACCTACATATGGGGGCTACCAAGCCAGGGAGGAAATTCACGATTAGTAGAATTAATTTAGAGTCAAACAACCCGTTTGCACTCTTCACTTAAGACCTACCCAATGACACTTTAGCCTAGAGACCACTAGACCTGAGTTTCCCACTCACTCCCCCTCAATCACCTCAGTGATATCAATACACAATTACAATTAAGATATGAAGACACACTTCAAACACACCTTGATCTTGCTTCATAGCTTTGATCAAGAGACACATCACTCTTGATTAAAAGCTTTGAGTGACACAATGAACACAACAGTTCATACACACTAAACCAATGCAATTATACAACAGACAATTGCTTGGCACACAAGGAATCCTAAGACTCCTAAACACACGTGAAGAACAAATTTCTTCACTCACAAAAACACACTCTCCAATCTCTCTCCAGAAGCTCTGCTCTATTTAGAGTGATCCTTCTGTTATTTATAGCAGCAGACTTGCTTTGGGCCTTGATGGAGAAATTAGGTTTACCCAAGATAAACCTCTCTTCATGAAGTTGTGCACTTATCATTAGGTCAGGAGTCTTTTATGTTATCCTCAGCAATGCCTGTTATGTCGCCTAAGATAACTAGGCTTCCTGAATTGTTTCCTGAAGTATAGCCTGAGCTAATAACAGAAAAACTAACCGTGCGCGCC